ATTTTCGCATCTTTACTTATTTTATTATTATTATTATTATTATTATTATTATGAGGAAATAACAAGGAATTTATTTATTAAAAGACTTTTATTTATTAAAAGACTGAATTCTGAATTGCAAATTTTATTCACCAATAAAAAGTGATTCACTTTAAATGGGTTTCTACAAAATATGTTAAAGCATTAAAACTAGGACAAAATTCTCAACTAACACTAGGACTACAAAAAACAGAAATATGTACAAATACAAGTACATTTTGACCCATTGCACCAAAGTCCAACCACATTTTAGGCGCACAAAAAAGGTAAAATTGTGCACCTAGCACTTTTTAGGTGCAGAAATTTGTGTGCGCCTGCATTTTTCAAAGGACAAGCCCTGCCTTAACTCCAAAACCCTGGTAAAGTTAGCCTTATATGCAGGTTTCCGACTGTAATATCTTTCAGTGTTTAGAAAAAAAATTCAGTTTTTGTACAGTATGTGTGGACTTCGCATTCAATAGCCCAGCTGACTTGCTTAGTCATTGGCAGTGAATGGACACAATGTGATTATGAATGAATATGTATACAACACATATTCAAGTTACATGGTGTCCATTGTCCCCCATAGTTTAATGCTTTGAGCACACTTTACAGGACATGTCTGTATTATTTGGGTTTAATGCTTTGAGCACACTTTACAGGACATGTCTGTATTATTTGGGTTTATCCATGCCATCATGTTGCAGCAAATAGTGGGCAAATGTAGTGAGACTGCAAAACTATTTCAAAAAATATTTTCCCAACCAGACCTCTTAGGGGCTCCGTAGCAGTACCATCTAGACAAAAATCCCACAAATCAATAGGTAAGAAGTCACAAATGTAATGTGATCCACAAATAGACAGTATGTGATCCACAAATGTGCAAACCATGGTAAAACTGTCTACTTTAGTGGATATGATGACATAACACAAAAAATACATATTTGCACATAGTTAAATATTTGTGGATCATGTCTTCTGTGGGTTACAACTAATATAGTCCATTAAAAACTTCCACACAAGTGCCACATCCCATGTGGTGGTGTCTAACCTGGCAAAACAGATGACAAATGATGGAAGAAAATGTTGCTGTAAACATTTTGCGACACCATGAAATAGAGCTGGGCGATATGGCAAAAAAAATGATCACTATAATTTTTCCTGTATTGACCGATATCGATAATTTTCAATATTATAGTTTCACAATTCTGTTCCATGTAATAATCAAAATAATAATAACAATCCTATCCTGACAAATAGAATGAATACATTAAAATAAACAATATTAGTAAAGAGATTTATTTTCCAACAATTTTACCATTTACATACAAAATTCCCTTAAATCAATAACCTTTTATAATTTTATGTATCCAAAGAAACACATACCATAGCTCAAATGAACAAAACCATATAATAATGTAACAATGTGCAAAACAGTATATATTACATAGATGTTAAAGGGCAAACATAAAATAAAGCAGGACAGAACTGACTGCAACAAGTATCTGCCTCTATTCTTGGTCTCTTAAACTTTTTTTTAAAGTTCTGAGGTAGAAAAGTGTCTAAACCAAACAAAACACTTATAGTTTATTTGGCATTTTTTTAAATATCTAAATACTCAACTTAAAATGTAACAAGTTTTGAATTTTTCAAGTAATCAGAATGTTAGGACATGTAGTACCTCATATTAAAGAAAGTAAACTGTGTGTAGTTTAACAATGCAAGTATATTAATATACAATATAATATACAAATGTAAAACCAGGGCTGTGGAGTCGGAGTCGAGGAGTCGGAGACAATTTTGGGTACCTGGAGTCGGAGTCGGCAAAAAGTTAACCGACTCCGACTCCTACTAAATTTAAACGGGAATTAAAAAAGTAAGTTGAAATGTCCCAATTCACAAACAGTCATAATGAACTACTTCTCTGCTGTAAGAATAAAGCCCAATGCATGCAGTGCATAATGTTACCACAAAACGAACATGTCAAGTAACCATGAAGCATGCTTTTCATTGACTGTATGCGTCACTATATGGGATGTAATGCACAGGTAAGGTGCGGCACTGCTTTCCATTGTGTCGTGTTCCACTGTTACAGGGAACTGTGAACCTAGCCTAAAGCCCCCCATACATTTACAGATGCACTGCCGATTTTTCGGGCCGTTCAACGAGTCATCACGCGTCAAACGGCTGAAAAATCATCTGGTGTGTTCTCAGCTCCGTCGGCTCCCCTTCGCTATGCGCTAGTGAAGGGAGCCGAAGGAGCCGAGAACACAGATCTCCCTACCTGTCTCCAGCAGAGGCTCGTTCTGCTGTTCAGCTGGCCGGTGAATGACACAATGCACTAAACTTCCGGCTGGCTAACAGAGGAGACAGCCACTGCAGCAGACAGAGGCATCACATTACTTTGGATGGGGGCGGTGGTCGAGATTTTCGGCAAGCTGGATCTGCCCGTCCATGTGGACACCCGTAATCTGCGGCCACCAATCAATTGCCGCGATTGTACACGCACATCGGTCAGTGGCAAAATCCTTGTTTTCATTGTTTGTCTATAATCTGGCATTATAGTAGAGTGTTGGCTTCCTAGCCAGTAGTTCTGTGGTGAAATGACATGTATGTTGCCTTCCTTTCCTTCAATGGATGTAGAAAATACATTAGCATAGTATATACATACAGAGGAGTCGGAGTCGGGGAGTCGGAGTCGGAAGATTTAGAAACTGAGGAGTCGGAGTCGGAGTCGGAGCATTTATCTACCGACTCCACAGCCCTGGCTGGAGGGGAGAAAAAAGTACAGTGGTACCTCAAAACTCGAACTCGAATCTATTCAGAACTCCGGATCGAATCCTAAAAAGTTCTAGTTCTGATCGAATTTTCCCCAAAATAAATAATGGAAAACCAATTAATTGGTTCCCGGCCCCAAAAAATTACACCTACATATGTTTTTTTCTAGCATCTAAACACAAAATGAACCGGACAAAACAAGAAAAGCATATACTGTACTAAACACATCTAAGCACATTTATCAAAACAGTAATTTGTAAAGTAAGAAAATAAATGTATCCAAACAATGCGTCCTTCCCCGATCGTCCGCTCCTTCCATGTGCCACATCCCCTCGTTAACCCCGTGTGGAATCCCCATGTGATCAGCTGTTTCTGGTTGTTGTCTATAGTCCTCTGTATTTCGTCCATATTTCAGTTTGTTTCCCCAGTCCCGTCATTGTATTGTCTATCTGCGTTTTGCTTGCCTTGCTTGTAATTAAACCCCGTATTCCCCGATACCCTGACGTCTGCGCCTTTGTCTCCGTTCCTTCCCCGCTTGGCACAACAATATTATTATAAATAAACGTATTAATGGTTTATTAATATTAAAATAATGAATAAGATATCTTTATTTTTAAATGTATTTTATTATAATAATTACTGTTACTGTCTATCATTGTCTAAATGTACTTTTACTGTCTAAATATATGTATTCAGCTAGTGTAAACATGCACGGTGCTATCACAGCTAATGCAAGGCTGAGACTGAAGCTTTACCCTTTGTTTCTGCTGAGAGACGTGCAGCGTGAGTCATTTCCCCGCGCATACAAGTTATCTTAGGTCGGCGTTCACGGTTTGACTTCTGAGATTCAGCTTGAGCTTTAGGTAATTTTTTTTCAAATTGGTTGGTTTGACTTTTAAGATTCGAGTTCTAATGAGTTCGAGAACTGATGTACCACTGTGTGTTTAATTATGTTATTAACAAAACTAATAATTTTAACTTACCAATTGCTAAGTGCAGTCGATGCCCTAAACACTGAAGTCGAGTCCAGTTTTTTAACAACACTGCCTTGACAATGTTTGGTCCATTGTCTGTAGTAATACAGACCTGGCAGTCCCCAGGATGACAGAGCGTCTTCGAGCGCTATAGCGATAGTTTCTGCTGTATGTTCCTCTGGGAAATACAGTTTGCAAACATTTGCTCTGTAAATTCCATTCTGTGTCTATGAAATGAACAGTAAGACTTATGTACGGCTCCGATGCATGACTTGATCACAAGTCTGCTGTACTGGCTAAGTGTCTTGCGTCTTTTAGCGCAGCTTCTAACTTCACCCGACATTGCGCTTCCAGAAATCTAGAAAAATATAGAGAAAAATATTTTCGGCCAGGCATTTGAAACCTCGGGTTGACTACTTTTAAAAAGTTTCCTAAAGCCTTATTTTTCTGGCATCATATCTTTCGCCAAGAAGTAAGTATGTAAGTAACTGCGCTCGCAGTGTCCCGATGCCCTTTTGATTTTTTACTATATGGAGTCATTGACTGTTGTTTAGGAATAGCTTCAGTACTGGAGGACTTGCAAGCCACATCACCCGAGGGTACTTTTTGGCAATCACTATACTCGATTGGGTGGTATTTCTGAAGGTGGTGAAACAGATTTGTTGTATTACCAGACTTTGTTGGAACCTGTTGACGGCATCTTTTGCAAACTGGGTTTACCTGTGTTTTGTCCGTTCGAAGATAACCGAACCAATTCCATACTTTCATTGACTTGTGCCATTTTTTCGGTATTATCTCCTCCTGTGCATTTAACACATTCTTCTTCACTTCACTCACTGGTGCAACCATGTCGCCCAACATCTTTTTTCTAAAACACACCCACATTGTTAATGTTTACAACGTTGCTTCTTCAAGGGAGGATGGGCAAAATTACAACGTCTTCGCTGTTATGCTGGTGTTCAGTAAACCTAACGTGCTGCTCGATAGACGATGGGCCATCAAGTTGTCTGTCTCAGCGCATTCTCTAAAACTGATCAAACAAGTTTGCTCTAGTTTTATAGTCTGTGTATCATTGTCCTCTTTTTTTATCGATAAAAAATCAAGATCGTGTTATCGCCCAGCACTACCATGAAATAAACGAAAGAGCATAATATGAAACAATATACACTCACCTAAAGGATTATTAGGAACACCATACTAATATGGTGTTTGACCCCCTTTCGCCTTCAGAACTGCCTTAATTCTACGTGGCATTGATTCAACAAGGTGCTGAAAGCATTCTTTAGAAATGTTGGCCCATATTGATAGGATAGCATCTTGCAGTTGATGGAGATTTGTGGGATGCACATCCAGGGCACGAAGCTCCCGTTCCACCACATCCCAAAGATGCTCTATTGGGTTGAGATCTGGTGACTGTGGGGGCCATTTTAGTACAGGGAACTCATTGTCATGTTCAAGAAACCAATTTGAAATGATTCGAGCTTTGTGACATGGTGCATTATCCTGCTGGAAGTAGCCATCAGAGGATGGGTACATGGTGGTCATAAAGGGATGGACATAGTCAGAAACAATGCTCAGGTAGGCCATGGCATTTAAACGATACCCAATTGGCACTAAGGGGCCTAAAGAAAACATCCCCACACCATTACACCACCACCACCAGCCTGCACAGTGGTAACAAGGCATGATGGATCCATGTTCTCATTCTGTTTACGCCAAATTCTGACTCTACCATTTGAATGTCTCAACAGAAATCGAGACTCATCAGACCAGGCAACATTTTTCCAGTCTTCAACTGTCCAATTTTGGTGAGCTCGTGCAAATTGTAGCCTCTTTTTCCTATTTGTAGTGGAGATGAGTGGTACCCGGTGGGGTCTTCTGCTGTTGTAGCCTATACGCCTCAAGGTTGTGCGTGTTGTGGCTTCACAAATGCTTTGCTGCATACCTCGGTTGTAACGAGTGGTTATTTCAGTCAAAGTTGCTCTTCTATCAGCTTCAATCAGTCGGCCCATTCTCCTCTGACCTCTAGCATCAACAAGGCATTTTCGCCCACAGGACTGCCGCATACTGGATGTTTTTCCCTTTGCACACCATTCTTTGTAAACCCTAGAAATGGTTGTGTGTGAAAATTCCAGTAACTGAGCAGATTGTGAAATACTCAGACCGGCCCGTCTGGCACCAACAACCATGCCACGCTCAAAATTGCTTAAATCTCCTCTTTCCCATTCTGACATTGAGTTTGGAGTTCAGGAGATTGTCTTGACCAGGACCACACCCCTAAATGCATTGAAGCAACTGCCATTTGATTGGTTGATTAGATAATTGCATTAATGAGAAATTGAACAGGTGTTCCTAATAATCCTTTAGGTGAGTGTATACCGGGTGACAAAATAAAAACATCTATAATCATATTGCACAGCCCTAGTTTGGTTCTCTGAACTCGTGTGTAAGCGTTAGACAATTGCAAGATATTTAAGATATTTATCTGTTGATGACCCAGACTTTAAGGGGAATAGTCCATGTTGGTTATTGGTTTTTCCCCCATAAACTGAATATGTTGCATTTTTAAAGTCTGATGGGTCCTCAGGCATCCCATGTGGCATGTTCCATAATGACTTATCCAGACTCAAACCACAGTGTTGCTCTTTAAGGCAGGAGGATGAGGAGGGTGCACTTGGCTGGTCAGTGCTTTTGGGTCTGTGTTGGTCTGGTGCTGCCCTCCACGTGACGGTAATTACGAAAGGTTTGCTTGCTCTTTCTTCACCTCCTCCTGCCTGTGCTCTCAGGATGTTTTCTCTGCTGTGAGCTTAGTGGGCTCGAGGTCACGGGTGGAGTTTTGTGGGGGTGGTGGCAATGGGGGGCAGCTCCTCCCATGTGTCCTGAGTCGAAATTACAATAAATTTGCATGTTCTATGCGGGCACTTTGCACCATAGTTTAAGAGGTTAGTTACCTTATTGGCAGACAAAAGTAGGTTATGTCTACATGTGATATGTGTGTTAACATATAGAGTAAGCAAGCCTTTTTTTTTTTTTTTTTGGCCCCTCAAGTAGGGCTGGGCAATATGACCTCTAATCAATATCACAATTAATTTAATATTTTATCTCAATTATAATTAATGAAAGATGATTTTTTTTTTTTTTTTTGCACTCCTATTTCACCTACAATGCTTGTACTATAAATATGCTATTAAAGCTGGGATATTTTTCCCAGTGAAAGACTATACCTTTATGATTTTAAAATAATTGCAGGAAACACAGAGATGAACCATTTAGGGTTATTTATCGAATATTTAGAACAACTGAAATCAAAGGCCAAATCGCTTGAAATGAAAACATCTTATGAAAAAGGTTATATTACTTGCGAACAAAATTACTGTGGAAACCGTTCATAGTTGATCAATTCAGTCTGGGTGAAACCTGATCACTATAAGCGGATTATCATTATAACTGTTTTTTTCTTTTTCTTTACGTCTCAAGCTGATTATCATCCAGTTGACATTTGTGTATTTTACATGCATGCTAATAAAACGGACAACTTCACTATTTACTGAATTTTATTGACTCAAAATACAGTACAACTGTTTCAAGCACCTTTCAAAGTACAGTACTGCAGAAATTAATAGCATTACAACTAAATATGCTTCAACTCATTTTATTATGATACTTCGAGGATTTTAATGTTTTATGTACAAAGTGCACAAATTACTGAAGTCTATAATTCAAATATGCTGTAATACAGTACTGTACATTAAATGTAGCTTAATGTTTTGCTACTGCATCTCAGCTCATTTTTGGCAGTTAATCATAAACATTTTATTTTAGTTTATATTCGTAAGCGAGAGAAAATGACTTTTTCCCATCATGTTTTTTGTGCATGCAGCATTAGTTCAGGTAGCTAGCCAGAACCAGATGGGTTACCGCAAGTCAAAGTAGGCAAGTAAAAAGAATTACCGCAGTTTCCCCCCCCCCCCCCATATGTAATCCATTTTTAAAAAGACCCAAAATGAACACTGTAAGTGGACTACTTTATTACTACAAGTGAATTATTTGAACTTTATTCAGGAATGATTCTGTTCCAAGCCTTTTGATCCATAGGTGTGGTTGATCACTATAACCATGATCACTATAAGCGGTTTCCACTGTTTTAAATATTGCTAGAGTTCTCAGTGTTTACATTTGACCTTTTTCGAACAGCCCACCAGCTCTAACACCAGCACAAAATCTGTTCCCTATTGCTCCATCCCCTTATCCCCAGACACTCATCTTTATTTGGTTGCTGGTAGTTCAGTGAGAGGAAGGTGGCCGTTCCAGACAGAACAGTGTCATTAATAATTAAATTATTTTTTCCCATTAATGCTGCCATTATTGAGCTTTGGTGACTTCTTTCCAGTGCTGAGTAGCCCACCCCGCACTCCTGCACCATGAGCTGGACCTTCCTGACACGCCTGCTGGATGAGATCTCCAAGCATTCTACCTTCGTGGGCAAGATCTGGCTGACAGTGCTGATCATCTTCCGCATTGTGCTGACTGTGGTAGGGGGCGAGTCCATCTACCACGATGAGCAGAGCAAGTTCAGCTGCAACACTGCGCAGCCAGGCTGCGAGAATGTCTGCTACGATGCCTTTGCGCCTCTGTCGCACGTGCGTTTCTGGACCTTCCAGGTGATCCTCATCACCGCCCCCAGCATCATGTACCTGGGATTCGCCATGCACAAGATCGCCCGCATGGATGATGTCGACTACAGACCACGGCATCGGCGCAGGGCAGCACTGATCCACCGGGATGCCACCGAGGACGATGGTGAGGAGGACCCCATGATTACTGTAGAGAAGGAGCCTGAGAAGAAGGTGAAGAAGGGCAGGGTGCCTGAGAAGCGGCATGATGGGCGGCGGAGGATCAAGCGGGACGGGCTTATGAAGGTCTATGTGCTGCAGCTGCTGTCCCGCGTCACCTTTGAGGTAGGCTTCCTGGTGGGCCAGTATGTACTGTACGGCTTTGAGGTGCCTGCCTCTTACATGTGCAGCCGTGGGCCTTGCCCCCACACCGTGGACTGCTTCATCTCCAGGCCCACAGAAAAGACCATCTTTCTGCTGGTCATGTATGGCGTCAGCCTGCTCTGCCTGCTGCTAACCGTGCTGGAGATCCTGCACCTGCTCGTGAGCAGTGTCTGTGACTGCTTACAGCACAAGCGCCCCATAGTGGCTGCCCACCGGTCCACACCATGCTTTCGGGCTGCCTCTGCACCACCAGAGTACCTGATGGCCCTGAAGAAGGGCTGTATTCGGAAACCACACATTCTGCAGGACTCAGGTCACGAGTCTCTGAGCTACGAGGCGCCATCCCATGAGCTGGAGCGCCTGCGCCGCCACCTGAAGCTAGCTCAGCAGCACCTGGACCTGGCCTACCAGCACCAAGAGGCAAGCCCATCTCGCAGCAGCAGCCCTGAGTCCAACGGCACTGCTGCTGAGCAGAACCGCCTCAACTTTGCGCAGGAGAAGAGGCGGGGGCCCTGTGACAAAGGTGGGTCTGCGAGTAGCTGTGCCAGGTGTTGACGGTGATGAGAATGCCTGTGGCTGGTTTGTCACAGATCGCCTTGCTTCTTCCACCAGGTATCAGAGCATAGACATCCTGTCCCCTGGCCCAACCAGAGTCTGTTCTGTCACCTGCCTCACTGGGGAAGCTGTCCTGGGATGAGCTACTGGAAGTGTTTGTCTGTCAGTATGTCTGTGGTGACCTGCCCTGCCCTGCAGGGAACAAGAGGCTCATGGGCTTAATGGTCAACATCTCAATGCCTATTGAGAGCCTGCCCCCTAGTGGTCTTCTACTTGCACAGTGTGCACAGGCTGTATTCTGCTCCACAATGTGGCTCATTTTCTAAGAATAAAAGGGTGAACCTCAGCACCTATCACTCATACTGTGAAGCATTTCTTTTGGTATCTTCTATGGTGGGACCAGAAGGACAGACTTGCCTCTTTTCTGTTAGAGTAATGGTTTCCATGGGAATGCACCTGGTGTAGCTGTGAGATGAGGTCTTCACAGAAGGGAACTTGGGGCTTTGAGCAGAAACAAGGGTGCTCAATCTGGTCACTTTTGCAAGAATTGGACAGCAGTCACTCCCAAATGGGAAGTGGTGTGACCAGGGGCGGATTAAGGTGTACAGAGGCCCCTAGGCTACAGTAGTCTGTGGGGCCCCCAACCCCGCCCCCCTCCACGCCAATGGGGGCCCCCGTGCAGGCTGGCACACGTGGGGCCCCTAGGCTTAAGCCATATCTAGCCTGTGCGTTAATCCGCCCCTGGGTGTGACCACTGTGTCCCTGGAAGAAGCTTGAATGTTGCTCAGCACTGCCCCCTTGTGGGTGACTGCGACTTCTTTGACTCTTCTTTTTTTTTTCTCGTTTCTCTTTATGCTAGAAGGTTTGTGGGACTGTGGATCAGAAATTAGAATCTTTTTCATAAACTGACCCTTTCGTTAGAGACTCAAGGAGCCAATTTTGTTCATGTTCACTGCTGGCTGATCTGGTCCAGCCACTTGTAGGGATGAAAGGGCTTCTATGCAAGTTCCTGAACACTAACTACTGAGTTACGGACAGAGTATTGTAATGTCTGCCTGTCCTGATATGTACATTGCTGTACTCTATATGTCCCTGTTTACGTTCTGATTTCACTGACAGTTTTTGGCACTGAACAGTGGTGGTTATTTGAAGAGGGCAGCAGCTTGTCAGAACTCTCATCTTTAAGACCCAGAAAGAGCCCCCCTGCAGGACATCATAGGCATTCCTTGCGTTTGACATTTCATGCCATGCCTTTCAAACCAGTATTTTGGACATTTCATGGCCGAATGGGAAAGTTTTGTATGCATTTTGTACCAGTGATATTTGTTAATGTTTCTTATGGAAAATAAAGTTTTGTTTTTTTTCCCCAAGTGCGTTCTGCAGTATTCATTCATTTATTCATTCTTCCATTTATGAATGTTCATGTAAAGCTGGATATTTTTCTGCCAACATCAGTATCATCGCTCTTCATCTTTAATTTATGGAAGATTATAAGCACAAAAATTCAAATGGAAATTAATTTTGCAATTCAATATTCAATCAAAGCATGCATTTGTCATTTCCATATTTAATCTGAGCATTTAATTTGAAAGTACATTTTGCAATCTGCAATTCAATGTGTAAAGTGCTTATGCAACCCTTAATTCATTTCAAGATATTTTGAATAATAAGTAGAATAACAGGGCACTGAATTGCATTTCGTATTGCCATGGGTTTTTTGCCTCTATTCAAATGCAATGGTGTCCCCGGTAATTGCATTGCGTGTTGTGGGGGGAAAAACTGAATTTGCAATTCCCAACTCATCGAGGTGGACCTTCATTAACGACGTCACTTCCTTGTATAATTGCCATGCTCACTGGAATTTGCGCAAAAGAGGCAAATGCAATGGAGAAGTCTGTTGTCCAACTTCTCTGAGAGGCCACCGCGGCACTTGAAGAGAGGGGTCCAAGCCAAACTCCAGATCGGCCGATGACTGTGTCAGGTGCTGGCAGACCGGGTTGTCATGGAGCAAGTGGAACGCAGGGTAAGCTTGTTTTAGCATGTAAAAAAAAAATGCTACCCATCGACATTATCTGACAGAGACATTAGCCCAACAAAATATGCAACCCATACAAATTTTGAAATAAAACAAAGTTGAGAAAATGGTAGCCTCATTTGAAGCATACTGCCAGCGCCAACTAATCAATTTATCCCAGCTTCTAACTTTCCAACCATTGTAAGGTTCATTGGCTGAAATATGGTCACACTAAAGCCTACAATCATGTAGATTATATTGATGACCGTGCTGGTATTGTGGCTGGGGATCAGACCTTCCATGTGGAACCCTAGAAGGTTAATTCACAGTTCTGCCCCTGAGCAAGGTATTTATCATGAAGCTGCTCCAGGGTTACTATCCCTTTAATTACTATCCCTAATTGTTCTAATTTGAAAAAGGGATCAGCTAAATGTCAAATGGTGTGTCACTTGGGTGATTTAATGTGTTATGAAAAAAGATATGAGAACTTGTATATAACCATATCTCATTTACTATTGCATTACGATCATACATAATTTAAAGGATTAACTTATTGTTTTTGTTTGCAGCGGAGGTATTAAGGCTTTTTAGGCCATATAATCGGCCTCAAACTGCACCATGCATGATGCCAAACACCACCAAAAAAATATTCACGCACAGATGCTTCTGTCTGGCTAACCAATGGTAAGAAGTTGTTCCAGGGACAGCAGAAAAATATGAATTAGAGAAGGGAGGCCTGGGAAAAAGAAGACTAATGTTTTCTGGTAACAGTACAGCACATACAACCAAAACTGCATACACACCTGTAAAAAAAAGTTATAGTACCTAAATTTGCACTGATGTCAAGAAATGATTATTGACTGTAAATAGGTTTTATTTTCTCACTCAATCAGGTCTGTGTGTACTGCCGCAGAATTTACCAATATGTTACTGTCTCATTACCCTGCTTTGCATGACTGTGGGGGCTACCAAGTCCTTCGGATAAGAGGTTCCTCACGGTCTCGAACAACAGCAGTGATTGATTGGCCCAGTAATGGGTACACTCCTCATTATTTATGAACGTCAGCCAAAATTGGCCAAGCTATTATATATGTGAGGCCACTACAGAAAGATATCAGTTTACAGGTAAACAATTTACTTTGATGTTAACAGATTGGGTGAATGTGAATTAGCCTGTGTGATGTGAAAGTTGGCATGCTGAAGGCACACTTAAAGCTTGCGTGACTAAAGCATAGGTATAACCATCATATTTAGATACTTTATACATCTATGGTGGCTGCCCCAATATTTTACAATAATTATACACAGTCTAGGTTATTAGGTGTGATTACTTGCATATAAGTCATAGACACTGTGGGAGCTTCTAAATGCAATATTTGTTTTGTGTATATCTAAAAGAAATCCGTGAAGTGTTGTGTATTTATTGGATTAGTTCAGAAAATTTAAAAAGGGCAGGACCTTTTTCATTACAGAATCTCACACAGATACAGGAGGATGAGTCACTAACACAGTGCATGGTGACTAGTATGTACTGTGGCCAAAATTTCATGATGAACCACATTCAAAACCATGTTGATGTCTGTGAAATGTAAGTAACCATCTTACAATTTATCATATACATACAATTTTACTGCAGTGGTGATCTGGCTGCTTGATTCATCTCCATACTTGTACATACAGTGCTCATCCAGCATCTCAGGCCACTGCTTCATCCTCACCCTCCACCCATCCAGCATCTCAGGCTACTGCTTCATCCTCAGTCTCCACCTATCCAGCTTCTCAGGCCACTGCTTCATCCTCACCCTCCACCCATCCAGCATCTCAGGCTACTGCTTCATCCTC